CTTCTTCAACCAGTTGAAATAAGTCTCAGAGCTCCTCAAAACATGTGTGTGAAGTTTCTTGTTCTAAATCCACTCTGATCCTGTATTTGATCATGTCTATAAACCCCTCTATTTCAGCCCTGCTCAGAACAGGCTGTTTCTGTGTCTGTACCTTTAAATATGTAAATGAGCTGTGTCTGACCACGCCCCCTCTCTGGAAGGGCTTGGGTGTACTCGGTCTTTCTCGCTCCATGTCCTATTATTTACGGTGAGAAGGCAGACTCAGAGGGCAGAACAAACACCTAGCTGTGGGAGTGTCACCCACCTGGGGGAGGGGCTACTGCCCTTTGTGATGTCATGAAGGGAAAATCTCCAAACGGCCTGTTTGAGCACACATTTTCTGAAAAGTGGAGCAGGCAGAAGACGGAGAGGATGGACTTTTCTCATCATTGGGGGATTTGTAGACGGACTAGAGACACATATTAGAGTTAGAGGAACATGGAGAAGAGGATTTTAAAGAATATTTGACCTTTAACACTCACAGTGACTTTGTCTCCTCAGAAAACTCGGTGGCCTTCCTTTCAAAGCTCGAGCATTTGAGAGGCATTATCCATTAATTTGTCAGAAAATCCCAGACAACCAAAACAATTCTCCTACTCTGAAGTCTCAGTCCAAGCGGGTCAAGTGTGTTTCTTTTAAACCGAAAGATAAAAAAGTTTCAGCACCAAATTCTTCAATGTAAAACTGTTTAAACCAAATTTATTTTCTAAATTTCTCTACCAAATAAAGTTTTGATTTCATGGACCACTGCTGCAGCTGCATCCACATGATTAATACAGCAGAGGAGGAAGATCCACCGTCAATTCACCTGTTCATCCTGCTGCCTGATGGAAATCTCATGTATTTACACATATTTCACGTAACATTATCATCAGCAGATTATTTAAACCTCAAATTAAAGGGATTCAAACGATCTAGAGGCCAGAAAGTTTCTGGTGACGTAATCTGCACAAATATTCAATAAAAGATCATATTTAAGGAGATAAAAGTGAACATTGATTAAAAATCCTTCATTATAAAGCGATTGAAGTGTTTTTGAGTGGACTCTGTGTCATCTGTGCTTCAGTCCAGGCTACCATCTGGCACACTAACTTTATCTGCACAGGCTGAACCACAAACAGACGCTCTCCTCTAACGTGTCTCTTTAGTTTTTATTTTTTATTTTTTTATTTTTAGAGTTTCGTGGAGTTAAAAAAATCTGACCTGAGTTTTGGTCGTGAGCTGAATCACCGCTTTCCTGAAGTGAAGTTTGGTGTCCGTGTTCCCCATGTTGCGTCCCCTCCAGCCGGTCTCCCGTGGATCCGTGTTGACGCTGAGAGCTTCGCAGTGAAGGAGGATAATCTCCCTCATCACCGCTCTGACGCGTTCAGGAGCCGCTCGGAAACTACCGTGTTCACGCGGAAATAACACCAACTGCAGCTTTAAACTGGAGGATTTCTAACTTTATGTTTGTTTTTATTTGAAAGACAGGGGATATGAGGGGTCCTCATACTTATAGACTTATACTGTGAAACAAAAAGGAAAAATAAATAAGTTTCATGATAAGTCAAGCAAATTGAAAAAATAAAGAAAAGACAGAAATAAAACACTAATAGGCTAACATTACAGATTTTGTGCGTAATGTGCAATATATGTTGTTGTGTTTTATAGTTTTTATTGGTATGTGCTTTTTGTTTACATGTAGATTGTGTTTGTTTCTATTGTTTTTATGTATTGATTGACTGAAAAGCACTTCTTAGTCCAAGACAAATGAACCCAAAGGGAACAATAAAGTGTATCATATCATATCACATCGTATTGTCTTGTATCTTGCACCGTCAAAAAAAAGTACAGGGTCCCAACAAAGAGTGCATCACTACTGTTTGGGTACAAATACAAGTTACCATACCACACCTTACCCTATGTCACCTTACCTTACCCTATGTCACCTTACCTTACCTTACCTTACCCTATGTCACCTTACCTTACCTTACCTTACCCTATGTCACCTTACCTTACCTTACCTATGTCACCTTACCTTACCTTACCCTATGTCACCTTACCTTACCTTACCTATGTCACCTTACCTTACCTATGTCACCTTACCTTACCTTACCTATGTCACCTTACTTACTTACCTATGTCACCTTACTTACCTTACCTTACCCTATGTCACCTTACCTTACCTTACGTCACTCTACCTTTATTTGTTTGTTTGACAAAATCCGTTTTCATGTTGTTTTATCTCAAGTCTGCCCAACACAGCTAATAATTCCGACTGCCCTCAAAGGCCACGTAAACCCGAGCAGGATCCACAGAAGGCGACTTCCGGGATCCTAAAGTACATATTTGCTTTCATTCACGTGACTCAAAGATTCAGATTCAGTTAAAATGACTGAAATGACGTCATCGTCATGATTTATAATCAACGATAATATTTGATTAATTATATTGATTGATTTTCAGTGGATGATTCCTTCAGTCCACTTCAGGTGCAGTGAGGACAATGTGCTCTGATTAAAGAGCAACAGTGACACCTGGTGGATGAATTAAAAACTGTACTGTAGACCTCTGAAGCAGGCTTCATTTCATTCGATTTTTTTATTTTGATAAAACTTTATTTCTAATATGACCTCTTGGCAAAAACAAAACTTTTCTGATAGGACGTATTTTCATGTCCACATTTAAATCACAAAGTAGAGAAAGTGTGATTTTAAACTTGTAGAAGTAAATGAAAAATTAGATCTTAAAGGTCCCATATTCTTCTTCTTCTGGTTTTATCTGCTCTTTAGTGTGTTTTCCAAGTGTCCTGTGCATGTTTAGGTTCATCTATGTGCAAAAATTAAAAGTCCACGGAAACGCAGCTTCTCCTACGTCCTCCTGTTAGCTGTAGCATTAGCTGCATGTAACGCTCGGTTCTAGCCCCCCTCGATAAAAATGTGTCAGTGTGACGTCATTGTCAGTGTGAGATCACTGATCTAAGCCCATTGGCTCGTTGTGGCCCTGCAGCTCATGTTGCACGCCCGTTAACTTCTGTAGCACGCCCACGATATGCCGTAGCCTGCGGTAGCACAGTAGTGCTAAGGTGCTAATGTTTATGCTCCCCTCGGAGCCAAAGTGGCTGCATTCCCAATATGGTAAAAGAGGCGGGACATTTCTGAGAACCGTGCTGAGCGACTGACCAATTACGGCAGAGCAGACAGGCCGACCAATCAGATCAGACTTGGCCCACGTGGGGACTCTGAACGTGGGCACTTCAGAGCCTTAGAGAGAGAGTCAGAAGAGAGCCGGTGCACGGAGCGGCAGGACATGAAAACAGACACTTAGAACTTTAGTTATTGTGAACATACTTTAGTAGGTACATAGATTAATTATTCAAACGCCAAAAAGGGCAGAATATAACCTCTTTAAAACACAAGATCAGATTAGGATAGCATAGCTTACCGAACTAGTCAAGCTAACTAGCATGATGCTATGACTACCAAGTCAAGTCATCAAAAAATTAAGTCAAAACAATGAATAAGTGTTTATTTGTTTCATAGGGTTAGACGGTCTAAAGATTTTTAACCTGCAAGAGTTAGCAGGGATGCTAATTTACATCCTTAGATGCTAAGCAGGTAGAAATGTAGGCTACTCATTATCACAGGTAAACAGAGTGAAATAAACTGTTGGGATGTCTACTCAGGGTTCTTACTCTAAATATATCCAAATGTATTTAAGCCCAAAGCAGTTGGCTCCAAAATGCATCTTAGAAGACGTGGCCTCTTCAAGGTACATCTTAGTTTCTAACAGTGTTTTTAAAAAAAGAAGATTTGTCCTGATGATTTAATCCAGAGAGTTTTAGGCCGGGCTCCATCTGTGAGTTACGTAACATCATCCATGGGAAAACTTTTCCAGGTAATCAGGAATACCCAAATATGAACTTCCCTCTTTGACAGTTCTGAGTCAGTTGGATCACAGCTGCACAACATATCAAAACCAGTGACGGCAACCTCTAAAGACTCCATATAAGTGACAGAAACAAATCCATCGATCACATATTAGAACATTACATGGAGATATAACTAGACGAAACAGATCAAGCCGATGCTGAAGTGTAAAATCCTGCAGTTCCTCAAGTGTCCACTAGAGGCTGGCACAGGAGGTCACATACACACCCATTCTAAAAGTTTGTTTTTACAGCAGAGATGAACATGTTTACAGCCTGGTTCAAAAAACCAAATAGGTGTGATTAGCTCATGTCTCCATGGACACACACTGTACGGGGGGTGAATGTTTTGATGACTCATCAGTTTTGATTTGATGAAGGATAAGAGTTATTCACAATAAGGCGTGTAGCTGACCTGATTGACAGGTGGGCACGGTGTAACGGTTTGTCAGGAGGTTTAAAACCCGCCTCAGCTCCAGCTCTCAGCCTGTCGTTAGGTTGACTGAAAGTTAGACTGAGACAGCATTTCCAGCATGGAGACCGCCATCGATGGGACTCCAGGAACAGACTGCAGGAACAGACGGGTGACGTCACTCAGGCTTCAAAACATTCATATTTACAGTCTATGACTCATTGAGGTCAAACCTTTTTTCCAAGTAAAACTTCCCAACATGATAAATCCAAATACGCACAAAAGACAATGTGGTCATAGTAGCATCTGGTAACCCAGCCAGCGGGGTTTCATGAAACACAAACAGTCGTAATCATCTTTTTACGGTAACTACTCGTCATTCACTTCTTTAATCCAGAATAATTTGATATAAACCGTACCAACAGCTGCATGTCTGATCTGCCTCCACAGATTCCAACATGCCAAAGTAACTGAGAATTAAATCTGTATTCACAACACTTACTCATGCTATTGCACTGCAAACAACTCTTTCCTCACAGCAAATCAGCCAATCAGGACCCTCCCTTCTCCCTGCATGCAGAATACAAAAACAGAGAAAACCCCGAGGAGGTTCCCAGACTAAGCAGACTCGGCTCAGTGCGTGCACGCTCATGCTGTTTGGATTTCTCAGTCTGAGCAGAGAGAGAGAAGACGAGACAACAATGAAGAGCTTTGGCGTTCTGATTTGCACCCTTGCAGTCCTGATGACGGCTGAAGCAGTAAGAATGTTTTTTTTAAATCTGACTTGTTGAAATGTTGCATTTCTTTGATTGGGTTTAAAGGACTTCTTGCATTTTTTTTAGGACCTGTTTACAGACAGAAAGCGGCGGGAATTGTCAGTTTTCTCGTCCTCTTCATCATCTTCGCTCTTGTCCTCCTTAGAAAGTTCAGGTGAGAAGCTGCACTTTCTGAAGCTGTAAATCATGTATCATCATTGGGCTGTGTTGAGCATGAGGCGTGTCTTTTGTTCCTCAGGTGGGATCTGTCTGAACGGAGGCTCCTCTGTCCCGTCCCTGACGTCTGGAGAACACATGTTTTGTTTGTGTGCCAACGGTTTTGAGGGGAGACGCTGTGAAACAGGTGAAGAAGATGAACTTCAAACCAATCTCCATTTTTTGTCTTTTTCATGCTTTTTACTAAATCCACCTGGTTTCCCTTCAGGAAAGAGTGCTCACTGCTACGAGGGCATTGGACTGTACTACAGAGGCACAGCGTCTACATCAAGGAGTGGGCGGGCTTGTTTGGAGTGGGATTCAGACACCAGGGAGCGATACATGTCGTCTGATGTCAATGCAGGGAGGCACAATTACTGCAGGTAAAATAAACATTTTTCAATAGTCTTTTTGGTCTTGATCGTCTTTTTGTTACTTAAAACCATCTTAGTGTTCAGATTCATCTGAAGTCAAAGGACAAGAGAATTAATTTGAGCATCTTCAACCAGTAGCAAGAGAGCAAATACACCCTAGGAGGTAAGAGGCATCCAACACACAGAGTCTACAGAGGCGCTGTGCATGCAGCTGTTATTGCGTTAAGTATTTCCTCCCAGCAATACCTGGGGGTGTTTAGGTCCGCCTCAGATAAACAGTGCAGGAAGTAAAGAGTTTGAACATGTGATTTAATCTCTTTGGCTTAATGGAGCAATATCATATCTAAAGGTACCTTACTATATGATCAGACATTAAGGAAACATGCTATGTTGAAGTGCAGGCTTCTCTGACAACAATGCAGCAGCCAGTATGTCCTCCTTCTAACTTTAGATTCTGCTCCTGAATGCTCTGGATTTGTTTGGACCAGAGAAGGTAGGCGCTTTTAAGACACCCCCAACACGGCCGTTTTGGACGCCCCTCGGTTTGTCAGATATGAGAGCAGTTATCAGGTCAACAGGTGTTGCAGTGATGGAAGCGGTCAAGAGAAGTGGTTCAGATAGAAGTGATTGTACCCGACCTAAAAAGCCTCTGCATGTTTCTAATAAGCTCCACGAGCAGAAACGTGCTCAAACTAGGATCAATATTGGAGATGCTTTTGAAAAATGGAGAGAGGTTAGAACACAGAAAGGTTTACAGACCCATGCAGAGCTGGATAAACACTGAAGCTTCAGAGTCCACCACATGGTGACCTGAGTGAGCATCCACTCTAGAGAGGAGGGGGGGAGACAGCTCTTTACAATGTTTTGAATTTGGACTGCAGTACCCATTTTAAACACTAGGTGTCAGAGTTACATATTTCTCAATTTCAGGCTGTTACAAATAAGTCCTTATAACTAATATTTTTTTGTTACATATTTTGTAGTTTTATGGATTTTACATGTATTTTTTCCGTCAGAAATATTCTCTACAAACGGCGTCCGTGGTGCCAAGTGTGGAAAAAACAGCAGCTGACGTGGGAGTATTGTGATATTCCTCGCTGTGGCTTGGAGTCGTGTAAGATCATTTTCACTTCCATGTCTTTAGAGATAATCTGAGCTCAGGTTTCAGAACTTCATCAGTGAAAAATGTTTGTTCTCTTGTAGTTCCAGCCCCGCCTTCTCCTGCACCGACTCTACCAGTGCCCGGTTAGTTCACAGAAATACTGAACTCACCGTCTCTCTTTTGCATATTTTTTCTCCCCTCACTCCTCTGAGCTTTGTTTCACCTCCAGCTGCAGAGACGTCCACATGTGGCCAGCGCACCAGACGGAAGCAGATGAAGATCGTGGGTGGGACGGTCTCCACTGTGGAATCTCACCCGTGGGTGGCAGCCATATTTTCGCGCAGCAAATCCAAGAAGGTTTTCCGCTGCGGGGGGAGTTTGATCTCGGCCTGCTGGGTCCTCACAGCTGCCCACTGCTTCCCTGACGGGTAGGAGGAAGTGATGTCACTGAGTGTAACCACAGCAGCAAGTGCAAAGGAAACAACAGGTTCATTACTGCTGAATTTGTGTTCCAGCTCCCACACTAAAGAGCGCCGCTTCTCCGTCAGCCTAGGGAAGAACGCTCTGAATGAGACGGATCTGTATGCAGAGCAAACATTCAGGGTGGAACAAATCATCGTCCATGAAGGGTTCAACAACAGCGAGGGAAACTTCAACAATGACATCGGTATGAACCCTGTCACCTTCAGACGCTTCAGTCATGATGTTGTTTTTGTAATTAAACCAGAAAACGTCTTCATTTCATTTTGAAGCTCTGGTGAAGCTGACGACCAAATATGGAAAGTGTGCAGAAGAAAACCACTTGGTGAAGACCGTCTGTCTGCCTCCGCCTCTGCAGCGCCTCCAGCCTGGTGTCACCTGCGAGATCGCCGGATACGGGAAAGAGAAATACGGTGAGGAGAGGCCTCTGATCACTGCTGTTCTCTCTGTGATGGAATGGTATATTACATCTCACAACGTTGGCCTACAGGTGTGAAATTGGGTGTGCATATTAACCATGTGAAGACCTAAAACAAATCCTCTTGTACCCATAGCCAAAACCAAACAGGAAGTCCGCCATTTTGATTTGAATTTCAAAATAATGGCTCATTTTAGTGTTTTACAGGCTTTGTATTTGAACCAACTCGTCCTAGAGGTTTCATCCGATCCTCACCATCTTTGGTAAAAGTATTGTAGACACCTCGAAGATTAAGACGTATCGAAACACTTTGCGGTTGACAACAGCTGTGGTGACACATTGTTCGCCATGCAACATATTTGAGGGGCTTAACATACCGGTACAATCACAAAACTCAATAGACATTATCCCAGTGGGAAAAGCAAAATGTTGAGGTGACTTTGACTTACAGGTGTGAAATTGGGTGTGCATATTAACCATGTCAAGACCTACAAAAAAACCTCTTGAGCCCATAACCAAAGCTGAACAGGAAGTCTGCCATTTTGAGTTGTATTTCAAAATAATGGCTTGTTTTAGTGTTTTACAGACTTTGTAGTTGAACTAACTCGTCCTAGGGGTTTCATCCAATCCTCGCCATCTTTGGTCAAAGTATTGAAGACACTTTGAAGATTAAAAACATGGGCATGGCCATTGCGTGCGGTCAAAGTTTGAGGTGCGAGGGCTCGTTTCTGAATGTGTTTTTATATGTTTGTTCTTACTTGTAAGTATCTGTATTTTTAAACCAATCATGAGTTATGTGTCTGCTCTGAACACCTTGTCTTGTCTCAGGTCTGTGGTACAGGTCTCAGCTCCTCCAAGAGGCTCAGGTGAACCTCTTCGCCGATGATGTGTGTCGGCACGAGGATTATTACGCAAACATGATCACTGATAACATGTTCTGTGCCGGCCGACCTGACTGGAGCCAGGATGCCTGTGAGGTATTTACGACAAGCCCGAACTCGATCAGTCTTTGATTCCAGAGACGGGTTTTGTTGTCTTCCTTTTAATGCCTCTCGTCTCGTTTTCCAACAGGGAGACTCTGGAGGGCCTCTGGTGTGCGAGGTGGGCGGCAGGCTCTTCCAGTTTGGAGTCATCAGCTGGGGAGACGGCTGCGCTAAAGAGTTTCGGCCCGGCGTTTACACCAAAGTGACGAACTACAACGGCTGGATAGGAGAGAAGACGAGGCTGCCGTCCATCACCGCGGGCTCCATGTTCCCTCAGAAGTGAGGGAGCTATCATCTGTGTATCTAAAGAGTCTTCCTCTGGACTCTGGACAATAGAGCTCAATGAGAGCGTTCACATGGACTTCAGTGGATTGGGTTTTATAAGTACCCTGTTTTTTTGTGATTGTGCATGTGAACATCATATCCAGATTTCAGAAACCAGGATAAGCCTTTTACCTGGTCTTAAGAAACACGATTTTGCTACCTTGAGAACTCAGAATGGAATCTGGATACTGTGTGTGCATGTAAGCACCTTATCCTGAACAGATACGGCTCATAACGAGGACGCTCACGTCCATGTAAACACTCAACGTTGTAAAAAAAAAAGCAAGATTAACCATGAAGCTGCTCTTTGGGGTCAAAACTTTCATTTTTGGCGTGACTTAACTGAGGAGCTAGAGAGCAAAAATTGTGACTGTACATTTAAAAAACGGTTTCTTTCTTCCAACCTTTGATCCACTTTAAATTTTAATTTACCAGAGCCCCCTGAAGGCTCTGCTTATAGATCCAGTCCCACATCCAGAGGTATTGATTGTCAACAGGCAGGCAACTACTTGGGCTCTAGGCCAGTAGGGGGGCCTAGAGGGCTGACAAACTTTACACCACAGCAGTGGTAGCTCAAAATGTGTACATTTTTCAATGACAGTAGGAACCTCCCTAAAGGGGCCCCGTCTGACAGCACTCACTATTTTTTCCCTGCTAAGCATAGCATGCAATGCTGTTTTGAAAACCACCTGGTGGTGATAAACGCTGGTTGAATAAACATGCACAGGATTTTTAAACTGCGGGAATGGATTTACAAACCGCTTCAAGTTTTCCTTACATGAGCCTTCAGGGGCTTCGTAGAGATCACTGTCTCTGCTGTGTCGGAGGTTTTCATTCTTGTACAGTTCTTGCACTTTCTGTCAAACAGATGTTACTTTTCTATTTTTTCAATCAATTTTTATTTGTATAGCGTCATCAGAGACGCTTTACGGAGCAGGCCGTGGATGAACGAGGATGGCGGTGGTCGTGGGGACGACACAGTCTGATGCTTTTTAAAGATATATATTCGTCAAATGTATTTTAAAGATTTTGAAGAGATATTTTTGCTGACATTTTCTACTTTTTTATCCAAAAGAAATTTGCTTAAAAATATAAATGTTACAATGTATATGATTTTTTTTAAACTGCTTTTTTTACATTTTGTGTTTCTCATGTTTAAAAAATGAACAAGTGAATAAAGAAACACTCAAATCTGTGATTGTGAATCAAGACGACTTTTGGTGTCTTTGTTTCCTCTCACATCTTTCTCCAGCTGCTCTTGATGTGACTGTTTGACAAACTATTCTCCACTGGTATCTTACTAATATCGATCTCCATTGTTTATTTCATCATATCGCCCCCCGGTGGTGGAACGAACTTCCAAACTCCTTTTGATCTACAGAGTCCCTCTGCACCTTTAAGAAAAAGCTTAAGACCCCGCTTTTTATGAACACCTACACACTTAATGATGATGGTTTTGTTTTAATTTGATAATTTTTAGGATGGTTTGGAGACTGATCAGAACTCTCAAGAACAGCTGTCGATGTTGTGCTCTGCCTCTGGTCACTTCCTGTCAGCACCTGTGTGTCCAGTCACACCTAAAGCTGTTTGTTTGCACTTCCTGACGTTGTGTCCTCCTATCTCTCTCTCTATTTTGCTTGTGTTGTTCTTACTCTCTGATGTCCATCGCTTTGGATAAAACCATCTGATAAGTGAATTGTAGAATATGATCGTAGAGTCTAAACTAACAGCTTGACAATGTGTCGTCTGGTCTGTTTCTTCGGTTATGAATTTGAGTATTTTATCAGCCATGAGCTAAAACTGAAGTAAATTAATTGGATTAAAAAGTAAAACGTTTCCCTTTGAAATGAGTCAGAGAAAGATGTTCATTAGTTTTATGATCTGAAACTGAAGCTGGTCTGTGAGCTTTGACTGTTTCCTTATCATCCTCCGCTTACTGTTTGTTCTTATACTCTCTTATTTGTATAGAGTCACAGCGCAGTCTAGGCCTGTGAAGGCTGTTTCGTCATGAGCCGGGGTTCCGGCCGAAGATTTCTGCCTTTTAATGAGAAAGTTTTTTCTTACCACTGTAACTTTTGCTGCTTCGCTAAAGTGCTCATGATGGATAGGCCGGGTCTTTGTAACATAGCAATAAGTAAGATCTTTTACCTGCTTTTTGTAACATAACAATGAGGAAGAGATTTTACCTGCTTTTTGTAACATAACAATGAGGAAGAGATTTGACCTGCTTTTTGTAACATAACAATGAGGAAGAGATTTGACCTGCTTTTTGTAACATAACAATGAGTAAGGTCTTTTACCTGCTTTTTGTAAAGTGTCTCGAGATAACACTTGTTATGAGTTGACGCTATACAAATACATTGAATTGAAATTGAATTTCTGTATTTCTTTCAGTCTAATGATTCTGATTGAATCCTAAAAGTCAGAAACAGGGGTTTTCATAATTTGAGAGCTTTACAGTCAGGCTCAGCTTCATCTTCACCAAACCAGTTTTCCTCCACACTGCGTTTCTGCTGACACTGAGCCAAACTACCTGTCAGTGTCACAATCCATCGCAGTGTATGTTTTTATTGCCTAATGTAAAACTAATCACCCTGTCACAGAGGGTTGACACTGCGACACTCGATGAGCTGTGGAGCTCGCCTCTCAGAGGAGCCATCATTAAGAGAAGAGTGAGGAACACAAAGGAAGAAGATTCTGATCTGGTGAGAGGACTTTCATTCTTCTATTAATGACATGGGCAGAGGTATCAGAAAACGAGGGTGGAACGTGGACGTGGGGGGACGAGACAAACTGAACCGTTAATATGATATAGTTTATCTTTTTCTGAAAAGACTGAAGCCACTGCCTTTATTACAGCAGATCTCCACCTACACAAACTAAACACTGCTTTCATTCACTGGAACTCTGCACAGGGGTTAACATAAGATAAAGAAAGAAAAAATACACTAGAAATAGATGCCTAGTATTATCTATTTATATTCTATTTTTTCTTCCTTTATTTAATTGATGTAAATATGTTTGTTTTTTTTATTTTTTTTGCTATTTTTTGCTAATTATATTCCTGTATTTTGAGCTGTTATAAGAAAAAAATTTCCCCCAATGAGATATCAATAAAATCTTATTTCTTAAACTTTATCCAGGAAATGTGATACAACAGCTCACAACAGAGGGCAAAGGTACTCAGCAATAAAAGACAAACATATTTACAGTAATCAACTACTAGAGGAGAGACAGTAAAGAAGGGAATTATAGATAAATACAGGATGTACACCTTCACTTTTGGAAGAAATCGGCTTTCGACCACTGTGACACTCAGTGGGTGGAGTCGATGTGTCATTGGACAAGACGCTTGTCGTGAATTCCGTTTTATTTCCCAGGCTGTACACATGTTTATTTATGCTGTAATATGTGTCATGTGTATGTGACTTCCGATGTTCCTGCAGTCAGCCTCTAGTGGACACTCGAGGAACTGCAGGATTTTGCACTTCCGCATTAGCTTCATTTTTTAAAGACCGGAGATTTCTGCTTGGTTCAGATTCAGGTTCATGTGTTCTATCTTTTCTTTTTTTGTAATCTTGTGTTTCTTGTGTGTATTTTTGTAGTTTGGGCCTCCTGTGGTTCACTTTGTTTCCCTCACCAGTTTGTCCTGTTCCTCACACTTACACGTCTGTTTAACCATTCCAGTTTCTGCACATCTGTCCGCCCCAATATTTCTGATTTTGAGTTTACAATAATTCTCTTAAATCATCATATTTTGTACAATGCAAAAGAATCAGTCGCGATTTCAGTATCAGGTACAACACAGTATCTGCAAATGATCTCCACCAGGTATAAAGCAGTGGGCGCGCACTGTAGCTGTTCCCACTCAACGTTTTTGAAGCCAAAATACGCCGCTTACGGGTGCTTCCATCTTGCGATTTTGACGTCATTTGGAGCCAGAGTCTGCGCAGTAGGGTCCGGGGGGAGGAGCCCTGGTAACACGCCCCGCCCACTTAGCGTACTGCCCTGATGACTTACGCAGCCCAGCTACGCCGAAAGCGCTCTGCCGGTCTACGATGAAGAAATGTGTAAGTACAACAAACCGCCGTATTCAAAGTCTAATATTTAAACACACTGTGTTTTAAAAAATCCAGTTATTTTAATCATTATTGAAAATACGTGGGCTGCTGGGTCCTCTGGTTTTAATGAAATCCTTCTATATTGAAGCTATATTTAAGCTAGGTTAGGCTACAGGTGGTAAGATATGTTGTATTCTGTTAGAAACTGATAGTCTGCAATGTGAGTCATGTCTGCTTTTCTAATATATTTAAGTGAACAGTAAATCAATTGTTTTTTGTATCTTCATTTAGGCAAAGAAGAGATAAAAGCAGCTGGTCTGACATCTTCCACAGAGGTGAAGTGTAAGTTAAAATCATCTGTTAAAAGTTTATATCCTGTGATCTTTAAGTTTCATAAGATGATTGTAAAAACATGCTATTGTTAACAATACAGTCTTCTAAAAATAAAAATCACACTGAGTCATACACCAGCTAAATGTTAAATAGAAAGGTGATGTTTTCTTTTCCATTTTACAATCAACAGAACCTAAAAATGACTCATTTCAACCTTCATCTGCACACCTGTTACAGAGGTCAGGCTGGGGTCTCTTAGTTTGAAGGAACCTCCTCCTTTTATCACCTGTGCCAGATGCCCTGCTCATCCACTGTGGGAGAAATGACCTTACACCAGCAGCTCTCCCAGATGAAGAGTCCTCTCTGCCATCACCCAGAGGAGCTGATCGACGTCTGAAGAAGGTGGACAGAGTCTGGAGCTTTGTGACAGTGAACAGTGAGAAGGCTACCATAGTCATCCTCAGATAAAACACAGAGATCCTGGTCAATATTTAATTTATTTTTCTCTACATGATGTTGCCCTGTGTTTGAAAGGCCAGATGCTGGAGGGTTGTGTTGGATTTGCTTTTCCATCATATTTTAACAGTCAAACAATCATCCAGGATCTCTTTACTTTATTTGATTTTTGTTTGGATTTCTTTGTTAAATTATGTTTTATACTTTCTCCTATGTCCCAGCAGTTTGACCTGATGGTCTCTCTTACTTATTTTCCACATGGTTAATGAAGCCAGGGGTTGTTTATTGAAGATTTCTTTTCATAAAATGTTTAAATAAACTTTTTAAAAACCTGATATGACTGTTTCTGATTAACTGGAGTACAACAAAGTGTTGGTCACGGTAAAATAATTTAGCAGTTAAGTTTATAGCTCACATTTGAAAAGGCCTTGAACTGACATTCATTTCTTCTTGACCAACAACAGCAAAGCTAACAGACGAGCTCAGCTTGTCACAGCAGGCTCGTCTGAGATAAATGGCCTTCAAACTTATTTCATATTAAACATTTAAAGCCAATAAGCATAGCAAGATACGTATGAGATTCCATTTCCATTTATTCAATCACAGACTTGTCAAACAGTCTGGCATGTTGTGCTGCTGTTTTCAAGAGTTAATAACTGAAGAGAAGAAGACCATCGAGAGAGGACAGGAAACACTCAGGGGACGAGTCCTCCACGTTGTCGGGGGACGGGTCCTCCGCGTTGTCGGGGGACGGGTCCTCCGCGTTGTCGGGGGACGAGTCCTCCGCGTTGTCGGGGGACGAGTCCTCCATGTTGTCAGGGGTTGCTGATGGATCTGAATCTGAGAGCATCTTCTGTAATAAAGAAAAACAATCACAGAGTTAAATGTAAAGTATAATGAATTTTACTGTGATGTTTCTGCCTCAGACCTGAGATCAGATCTGTCCTCAGGTTCTGCTAAACTTCAGCTTCTAAAGTTTACTTTAAAGACAGGAGAACTATTAAAGAGGAAAAACTAAATATATAATAAGACATGATGAATCCAATAATATGATCAGCTTTATGAATTATTGTTTTAAGACAAAAGTGTTCCTGCCACTTTCTATTGAAGATTATTGTAAACTGTCATCACATGGGCCAGCCTGATGAATTAAACTAATGTTAAATATTCTCATATAATCAGAAAGCCAATTTGTGTGCAGAACCTCACCGGAGCTGGAATCAGAGTCTGGACTGCTGTTTCCTTTTATAAGGATTATAAATTGTTACTAAAATTACTTTGATGCTGATAGCGGTTACAATAACACGGTCCAATCATATGAGAGATCATTTTACCTTTGAGTCCTATGTGAAGGCGTTCTCTTCAGAATCAGCACTGCAAAGACAAGATGATGGCGTCCACCTTCACAAGCTGCTGCTTCAGTCTGGCTGCATCATGGTCTCCTACAGGAACACCACAGAAATACAATCAAAGTACTTCACTGTATTTATCAGAGGATGTACTGTATGCAAAGTAGAATCTTTTTCAGCTGTAATTCCTCAAAAAGGTTTGAGACTGCTTTGTTACTTGAGAACACAGATTGTTTCTTTTCCCTTCTCTCTGTTTGCCTGTACATGACCTTTCAGTGCTGTAGAAGATGCTACAGTAAATCCTGGATCAGCTGTGTGGATGGTGTGACTGTGTGCTAAAGCTTTGTTAAAGTTGTCACACACATACTCATATGCCTTTGGAGAGTAAAAGTGCAGTGTGGTGGCAAACTGCTTATAAAATATAAAATAGTATTTTATTGGTGAGGTGCCCCAATCAAAGCGTCCTACAGAGTATCAGCAGCTTTAGAGGGAGGAGACGAGCGCATTATTTAGAGGAGCGCACCGCAGGGGGCGAGCTGGGGGAGAGACGAGAGACCAGAGAAAAAGGAAATCCCTGTTTAAAATAAAATGTTGGTGAAAAGAGGGAAATAGAACGACATAAATGTCAATGTTGAAATTCTTTTGAATGCAGAGGCTGTGAATGTTCAGTTTTCTTTGGCTAAGGCAACAACAGCCTGTAGTTTAATTCTGGTGTTTCTCTTCGTTAGCGATTATTGAAGCGAAATGAAAAATAAATGCATCCCATTTAAAACATATGTGTGGGGGAAAACGCGATCTTTATGTCTTCTTTTATTGAGCCTCTGTCTCCTCCTAACTACAATAACAGCAGCATGTTGTGTGTAACACTGGTCCCCTGCATTAACACCTTCCTTTCAAAGGTGATAAATACAGACACAGTCATAATCACCGAAACATTTTTTAGTACAAATTCTGAATGAGCTTCATTAAATTTACAATATGATCAACTTGTGACTGTTGAATTGGTCGTGTGTGGAAGGCAATGCAGAATATTTATCAGTTTAAGCAGCATGATGCTCGGTTAATATCACATTACACCACCGCCGGTTGTTGATGTTTGCGTTCACGTTTCAGTTAGTCTCTTAAATCAGTAACAGTTATATTAAATCAGATCTTACCTTTAGTTTTATCTGGATCTTAAATCAGTAACAGTTATATTAAATCAGAGCTTACCTTTAGTTTTATCTGGATCTTAAATCAGTAACAGTTATATTAAATCACATCTTACCTTTAGTTTTATCTGGATCTTAAATCAGTAACAGTTATATTAAATCACATCTTACCTTTAGTTTTATCTGGATCTTAAATCAGTAACAGTTATATTAAATCACATCTTACCTTTAGTTTTATCTGGATCTTAAATCAGAAACAGTTATATTAAATCACATCTTACCTTTAGTTTTATCTGGATCTTAAATCAGTAACAGTTATATTAAATCACATCTTACCTTTAGTTTTATCTGGACACATAGAGAAATATTCTCCCCTTGTATATAGTCCTATGAATTTCAGCCTGCACGGTGAAAGTAAAACCTGTTCCTCTCGGTTTAGTCCACTTATCACTGAGACTGTAAACATGTTCACATTAGTAATGATGCAGGCCAGATTTAAATTATTTGACTTTGTTTTTGCCCTCGATACTTTTTTGAGACTTTACCAGACGTTTTTATTTTTGCTGTAAAATAACTGTACAGTCAATGAACCACATCTATGAGCGGATTTTATATTACGATTCTTGGTTTTAAATACAATTTCAATCACAATAACGACATAACAATATGAAGAAACATAGCATGTCAGTTATTAGGTTTGCTCATTTAATAAAATAAAATAAAAAGATAAATCATGCCGGATAAGTAACCTAGCTTTACAACATTTCAGCTAACTTTAGACTGCTTATGTGTTAGCTAGCTAGATAACGACTTTAACCAATGACACATAAATCACTTTTTTACTTACCGAAAGAACTGCAAAGATCCGTTATCTCCCACAGGTCGGTTAGAACAGTTTACTGCAGAACAACTCATTTTACAGCTCAAAAAAGACGAAAAAACTGAACGGAAAAATTCAACGGCGTCTCGGCTTTCCTTCACTACGTAACTTTGTTATTCACAAAGAGAGCTACGCAAGATCGGCGGCTGTCAATCATCGTCAAATATGACGTAAAATCCCGTTTTTCAACCTCAAATAACTTATTTAAAACAAAGTTCACAGAAAAATGAGCACTTGAACACAATGTAGGGTGATAATAACTAATGATCACAGCAGAGTTTAGGTTTGGAAAAAAATTATGTGACGAGTATTTTAGCTTTACAGTTTGACCCACATCCCATCTGTTATCATTGAGGAGGCGGGGCTTATGACCTATACTGCAGCCAGTCAGTAGGGGGAGCTCTACAAATAAAAGCTTCACTAGACCGGGGACCTTGTCCCGTCCATTATTTTTACAGTCTATGGTATAAAGTAGGAGCACTTTAAAGTCTAACTCTTCAGAAGCGCCCTTTAAAAGACAAACAAACAGGAGGCAGATTAGCACATGAATAGGCAGATTAGAGAGACAGTTTTATCATTCTGTCGTCAATCAAATTCCTTCCATAATTCAACTTGAAGACTTTTTTTTAGTCATTTGGGAAGGGCACTAAACCTGTTTTCTGAACATCACATACCAAGACTCCACCCAGTGTTCAGTGGGGGATTACACTCTGTATACAAAATACCAAAATGTCCTGTTCCTCACACTAACCTTACCCTACCATCACACCGGTGTCACTTTGTTAACTAGTTTTCCTGGTGGTGACTCCCCTTTGTTCACCTTTTCCTTGGACAGTTTGGACAGTTATTTCATGGTCCTTCAGAAAGTAAGCGTTTGTTTATAGCCTGTTTTTTGTTTTAGTAAATTAATTTTGTCGGTCTGCACTTTGGTCCTCCTCTTAGTTTAAATAAATAAATCTGACGACATAAAAATGTGCACATCAATTCCCTAAAAAACAATTCAAAGTCTTAAGTTGCAACATCTAATATTTATGTGGTACAAAACCATGATCGTCTCATTGGATGCAGAAAAGGCCTTTGATAAAGTTAACTGGACATTCTTATTCCGTGCCTTACGCAAGGCTGTTCTTACCCATCCACTGGGTAAGAACACTGTACACATCACCTAGGGCCACAATAAACACAAATGGGATCACTTCACCGAACTTCACACAACACCAAGGGACCAGACAAGGATGCCCACTCTCTCCATTCCTATTTGCAATTTTCATCGAACCTCTCGCAGCAGCTATAAGACAAAACAATAACATTAAAGGAATCTACAGTGAACAAGTAGAGCATAAAATAAGCCTTTACGCAGATGATCTATTATTACACCTACAAAATCCTTCAGCATCATTACAAGAAACCTTCAATATTATTACAAATTTTTCTTCCGTCTCTCAATATACCATGAACTGGAATAAATCAACCATCCTGCCAATATCAGAAGGAGCCTGGGATTCTGCAGCCCAAGATCTCACCCTCCCATTTAACACTGGCAATATAAAATACCTAGGCATTAACATTTCCGCCAGGCTGTCAGAATTATTTCACCTTAATTACACCCCCCTGCTAAAAAAAAATAGAGGATGACTTTAAGCGCTGGACCAAACTACCACTCACTCTCATTGGACGAATCGCCACAGTTAAAATGAAAACCTTACCACAGATGAATTATTTATTCTCAATGGTCCCCATCACTCCCACTGACAAATGGTTTAAAACAATAGATTCATTATCATCACAATTTTACTGGAAAAACAAAAGAGCTAGAATTTCATTAAAAACATTACAAAACCATAAATCACACGGGGCCCTCGAAGCACCAAACTTTCTCTACTACCATCTGTCAAATCAATTACAATATTTATTTAAATGGACGCAAAAAAAAACAAAAAACACAACAACCAATGGCTAGAACTAGAACAAAACCAATGTAAAACCACTTCAATTGCAGACCTTCCCTTCCTACCACAATCAATTAAAAAACTGGACTACCACAAAACCATCACCATATCCTCAACTCTGACAGCCTGGTGGAAAACTCATAATATCACCAAGTCATCACTATCACCATGTAGATACACCCCAATATGGCATAACCCAGACTTCCAGCTACAAAACACCCCCATCTACTTCCCATCATGGCAACAAAAAGGAATCACTCACCTCAATCACCTATTTCAAAACAATCAGTTTATATCACTCAATACATTAATCCAGAAGTACGGGGTTGGGAGGGACCAGTTCCTACAGTATCAACAATTAAAATCAATAGTCAAATCCAAAATTAATATAACTAACAACACTCTGCCACCCTCCCAACTCAGTGAAGAAATCATGAGAATCAACAGTTCAAATAAAATCATCTCTAAACTTTATAAACTTATGGCGACATCAACAACCTCCATTACACTCCCCACTACAAAATGTGAAAAGGATCTGAAGCTGCCCCCCAACCCTGACTTCTGGACACAATTCAATAAAAACATCTTTTCTATGACCAATAATACTAATTTACAACTTATACAATACAAATCCATCCACAGGACACACATCACTCAAGGTAAAATGTTCACAATGGGTTTAGCTAACACAGACATCTGTTCACAATGCACTCATGATTCCACAGATGACTATCTTCACGCCACTTGGGCCTGTCAACCAGTTCACTCGTTTTGGATCACAGTCACTGAAAATCTCTCCACTATCTTGGGCTGCAGAGTCCTCCCGTCCCCATTACTTTGCTTACTTGAAGACACATCACAAATCACCATCCCAAATAACTACAAAAACCCGCTACTCATTTCTCTAACTATCGCCAAAAAAATCATCTATCAGAACTGGAAATCAAAAAGATACTGCCACATAACTCACTGGACCAACCTACTCACAGAACACATTGTAATAGAAAGAATCGCAGCCTGCAAGAATAACAATATATCAGCCTTTAATAACACCTGGAATCCATTCAGAATTCACCTACATCTCAGAAAAATCATACCTCAAACTGAAATAAAAATCCTTTAATGTTGACACATATATATCTTTTTTTGTTTTTCTCCCCTCTTTTCTCTTCTCTTTCCTCTCAATTATCTTCTATCTTCTAATTAGCTATTTATTTTTCTTGCTACTTCCCATTCAGCCACTCACTTTAATGTATTATCCTGCCACACACACATTCACACATTTCTTATACACTACTTCAACTTACTACTTGACTTTTTTTTTATATCTACTCAAATTGTATTTGTCTTTGCTAATGTTTGCGTATTTTGTTTTGTTTATTTCTGTTTTTGTTTATTTGCCGTCGCTTTAATTGTCATGTCTATGTGCACATTTTTGTTTTGTACTTGTTCACCTTATCACAATAAAAAATAAAAAATAATAAAACTCTCTCTTTCTATCTGCAGAGAAGCAGCCACACCCAAACGATCCCTCTGCCTTCTCTTGAGTGTTAAACCAGAGAGAGAGACCTGAGCAGGACTTACATCCTCGCAGACCTCGATCCCTCTGCCTCCTCATAAGCCTTCAGACAAGACCAGCACACGTCAAACACTCTTTGACAAAGGCATGGGGATGTGGAGGAAGCTGCTGATTGGCCTGTTCACCGCCAGCTCCTTGATGCTTCTCTACCTGTGTGTACACCTGGAGAAGCTTCCATCCTGGTCCATACACTCCCGGGAACACCTTCAAGTCTTCACTCTGGGAGAAAAAAGATATGCGAGCAAACATGATCAAAACACAGAGAGTCCAGAGAGCGAGCCGTCTGCCCCCGTCCATGGAGCCTCTGACGGACGTCCAAGTCTTCATCCAGGGAGGTGAGTGAACGACCCAAGTGGACCCGGTCTGAGCAGAATGTAGGGGTAGTTTAATAAGTTTAAAGTGTTCAGCCGATAGACATTTTGTGTGTCATTAAACCTTGGCAGTTGGGGTTTAAATGCAATGCAACTTTAATTAAAAGTCCTCTTTAATTGAGATCAGTTATAGTTTAGTTTTAGTATTAGTATTTTATTATTGTGTCATACCCGCATGTTCTTACATGACACCATGAATTAAAAACGTTCCCGGATCAGAGTGCACTAGGTAAGCTATATTCATTGTCAAGAAACAAAAAGAGAAAGCAAGAAGTCAAACTCATTAAACAGAATATCCTGTCTTCTTCTCCAAGCTTTTGAAACAAAATTAGCAAGTTTAAACACATCAAACTTAAACAGCCATTCCAGTTTCTGCACATCTGTCTGCCCCAATATTTCAGATTTTTAGTTTACAATAATTCTCTTAAAGGTCCCATATTATGCTTTTTCTGGTTGTATATGGCCTTTAGTGTCCTGTGCATGTTTAGGCACATCTATGTGCAAAACTTCAAAGTCCTTGGAAACGTGTCTTCTCCTACGTCCTCCTGTTAGCTGTAGCATTAGCTGCATGTAACGCTCGGTTCTAGCCCCCCTCGATAAATATTTGTCAGTGTGACATCATTGTCAGTGTGATGTCACTGATCTAAGCTCATTGGCTCGTTGTGGCCCTGCAGCTCATGTTGAAATTTCCGAGAAGCGTGCTGAGCAACTGACCAATAACGACAGAGCGGATCTGCAGACCAATCAGAGCAGACTTGGCCCACGTGGGGTCTAACAGTGTGGGGTCAACAGAGTGCAGCTGATGGACTCAGAGCGTAGAGGGAGCAAGGAGGAGCAGTTCATGAAAACAGACACTTTCTTCGGACTTTAGCTATTGTGAACATACAAAAGTAGGAACATAGATTAAATATATGAACCCCAAAAATAATGTTTGTACAATGCAAAAGATTCAGTAGCGATTTCGGTATCAGGTACAACACAGTATCTGCAAATGATCTCCACCAGGTATAAAATAGGAGCACTTTAAAGTCCAACTCTTCAGCAGCGCCCTTTAAAAAAGATGAACAACAAGCTGGAGGCAGATTAGCACATGAATAGGCAGTAGGATTAACAAAAACATAAAAGGTGTATCAGGAGAGTTCAAGCAGCCAACAGGCTTATACAAGGGACCTCACCTCTTAAGAGAACAAATAAATCAGCTAAACAAATCGAATTACACAATTTCAAAACAAAACTAAATATAAAAACATATACAGTAACCTATACACGTATTCATATACACACACTTAGACACATACATACAATAGAAAGACTGAGAATGTTAACCCTCTATCAGCTAAATGAAACAGGCATTGATCTATTAAAAATGGAGTGAAATGAGTGAGTTGATGGAAAAAAAAGAATAAAGAAAAGAATAAATATATTTTATATATGCAAAAGTTTGACCTCATGGATTAAATGTGAAGACAGTTTCCTTTTAAAAATCTCTGTAGATGAAGAGTCGTTAACAACGTGTTTTTTGGAATTCCATATTTGTACCCCACGATATCTGATGGAAAACTGATCGTGTTTGGTTTTATAAAAAGGAAGATGGAGATGATCAATCTGTCTGGTAGAATATGAATGAAGTTTAAAAAAATGCTGAAATGATGATGGTAAAGAAAAAGGTATGAACATATATTTATATATAAACAAACATATCTGATGTATATTGATATCATAAACTGAAAGAATGTTTAGTTTTTTGAAGAGGGGGATGTTTCTGTTGCTTTGGAGAAAGTTGCCAATCTTACAAAACATTTCTGCAACATATAAAGTTTAAGAAGGTGAGAGGGATAAGTGTTTGCCCAGACAATATTACCATAAATCAAATATGGATAAATCATAAGTAATATAAGGTTAACATACAAGATAAATGAATAAAACTACGAAGTTTGCTGATGATCCCCAAGGACTTTTTCTGAATAAATTTAATATTATTTTTCCAATTTAAGGATTCCTAAGAATTGAGTTTGTGACACTTAAGAAATTTAATTTCCATCTATTGAAACTTTAGCATAATCCCTCTGATACCTACTTCCTTTACCTGTGAATATGATGAAATTTGACTTTTTACTATTTAATGAAAGCTTATTAAGTTTAAACCATTTTGCAGCACTCACCAATTATTCATTTGTATTATTTATGAGGGTGTGTAAGTCACTGTGAGATAAGATCATGTTGGTATCATCAGCAAAAAGAATAAGAGAAGAAAGTTTGCAAGCTAAAGGGAAGTCATTAATATAAATAAGAAATAACAAAGGTCCTAATACAGATCCTTGTGGTACTCCACATGGTGTGCTTGAAGCACAACCATTGATTACCACATACTGTTCTCTCTCACTCAAATAATTGGTCAACCACTTCAGTGTGTCACCTTGAAGACCATAATGTTGTAATTTAGCAAATAAAATATCGTGATTGACAGAGTCAAATGCTTTGGACAAGTTTAAAAAAATACCAAGTGCGTATTTATTATTATTTGTAGCTGCCTGTATTTTGTCTACAAGCTGTAAAAGTGCCATATAGGTAGAACTGTCCTTTCTAAATCCATATTGATGTTCATATAAGATGTTATTTTCATGTAAATGTGTAACTATTCTTGAGTAAATTAACTTTTCGAGAATTTTTGAGAAACAAGGTAAAATTAATATAGGACAATAATTTGTAAAATTTCTTTGATCACCAGATTTAAACAGTGGTATTATTTTTGCTCTTTTAAACTCTTTCGGGACAACACCAGTGGCCAGAGATCGGCCCAGGGTATGAGTGAGAGGTTCCAATATGTAATCTGATATTTCCTTAATTAAAGAAGGATCAATTTCATCATGGCCAGCTGAGGTATTTTTTTTTAGATTTTTAATGATGTCACTTACTTCCTTTAGCTGTGGGGGCTCAAAATTTGAGATACAGCCATAACTTTTTTCTAAGTAATCTAAAGGGCTGTATAACTTCTTTTTTTTCATAGAGGCTTTTTTAAGACCTGAGGTGGATCAAGGTTTTTGAAAATCAACTTTTTTTTCTTTTATCCTCTTGAGGAGAAAACATTGGTTCAATTAGCTAACAATTTCATTCATAAAAAGGGAGTAGGCTGATATCATTCTGTCGTCAATAAAATTCCTTCCATAATGCAACTTGAAGACTTTTTTGCATCATTTGGGACGGGCACTAAACCTGCTTTCTGAACATCACAAACCAAGACTCCACCCAGTGTTCAGTGGGGGAATTACACTCCGTATACAAAATCATTTGTTTTCCGAGGTCTCAGGCAGAACTCTCAGGGCTCGTCTTAAAATCTTGTTCTGTCTTCCACAGCAACTCACGAGTCAGTTCCAGGCCGGTTGAAGACTCGGACAAAACCAAAACAAGGTTCAGCACCAAAGCCCCCTTAGTGAAGCCTCAGAGACCCGCAAAGGTAACCAGGTCAAAAAAAGAGCCAGCCTTCATTGGAGACAGCTACCTGAGTGAAGACAACCAGCTACAGACAGTGAGTGTAGAAAAATGCTGAAATCTCCTCCTGTGAGAGTCTGCAGGTCAAAATTGAAAATGTGGAACCGGCCAGGTGGAGCTAAGGATGCAGCTTTATGGTTTCATTACAACCCTGCTGTGTTATCTGCTCCCTCCAGCTCTGCTCAGACGGTCTCCAAAGTGGGGTCATGAAATTTGAATTTGGGGAGCGGTATCTGAACAACATCCCGATCCTGATGCTGGCTAAACATGCGACTCCTGAGCAGTATCAACGGCTAAAGAAGTACACACCAGTCCACGGCTGGAGCGGGATCAATTACACAAGTAAGTTTAAAGGCTTTATATGCAATTTTTTGATCCAGCAGATGTCGCCCTTGAGCACCAGCATGAAACCAAAACAACTCGCGCTGCATTGTTGTGTTAGCATGCTAATGCTAGTGATCTTTATTATGCTGGTATCTTCACACTGCATGTAAATTTACCTGAAATGAGCGTGATCTAGAAACACAGTTAAGCAGTGAGTACAGTATGTTATTCTTCTTTTCTCTAGTCCCTCAATTAAACAACTTTTATACGTGAGGGGAGGAGTCAGCCGGCCGTCCTGGCGATGTAAACAAAGTGAAGATAGGACTCTGAAAACTCTGAAAGCATCACAGACAGTGGGACAGTGATTACATTTAAGTCTGGAAATTCACATATAAAGCCTTTCGCTACAATATTACATTTATTACTTCACTATGAGCATGCCCCTTCACATTGAGCAGGTTTTTTTCCGTCAAAAATAACCAAATCTGTGGGCGGATGCACAAACATGGCCCACAAAAAATGTGTAAAAAAAACGTTCAGGACTGTGTTCAAATACTCTAACCGACATTCAATCTGTGTTTTTTTCTGTTTCTACAGTGCTGGTGGAAACTCTTTCCCTCCTCAACTCTTCCGCTAACTTGCAGATGTTTGACGACTGGAAGGACCACAGTAAGAACTCCGAGTGTGTCCGCTGTGCTGTGGTGGGGAACGGGGGGATCCTGAATAACTCAAAGAAAGGGGAGGAGATCGACAGTCACCACTATGTCTTCAGGTACAAACCAACTCTGGACTAGCTTAGCTCTGCGTTTGTTCATGCAGGACTAGGAAGTCCTGCGCCCCAGCTGCCCACACCCACACCAATTGCTCTCTGGAAAGTTGTGGCATGCTGCCCAGAGCGGAGCCTTTCAATGCCAAGCATTAGCCCGCCTGTAAATTCTCTTGGTGTTTCTTTAACGGTCACATATCCTCCTCCTCTTCAATCAGTTTAAATAAGTCTCAGAGCTCCTCAAAACATGTGTAAAGTGTCTTGTTCTAAATCCACTCTGATCCTGTATTTGATCATGTCTATAAACCCCTCTATTTCAGCCCTGCTCAGAACAGGCTGTTTCTGTGTCTGTACCTTTAAATATGTAAATGACCTGTGTCTGACCACGCCCCCTCTCTGGAAGGGCTTGGGTGTACTTGGTCTTTCTCGCTCCATGTCCTATTGTTTACGGTGAGAAGGCAGACTCAGAGGGCAGAACAAAAACCTAGCTGTGGGAGTGTCACCCACCTGGGGGAGGGGCTACTGCCCTTTGTGATGTCATGAAGGGAAAATCTCCAAACGGCCTGTTTGAGCACATATTTTCTGAAAAGTGGAGCAGGAAGAAGACGGAGAAGATGGACTTTTCTCATCATTGGGGGATTTGTAGACAGACTAGGGTCACATATTAGAATTAGAGAAACATGGGGAAGAGTTTTTATATTTTTACAAGATGACCTTAAAGCCGTGAAAGATTTTCAATTGTTTTAGGGCTTTGAGATCATTTATGTTGTCATCCATGTTTTTGGATTCTTGTTTTTTTAGGACCAACGGGGCAATCATTAAGGGCTTTGAGCAGGACGTGGGGTCTCGGACCACCCACTACACATTCACCACCACCACACTGAGTAACTCGTATATAAGGTACAAAGGTCTTGGCTTTAAAGGACCCCCTTTGTCTAAGGTGAGTTACATTTCTTCCTGCATAAAATGCTCGAGTAATGACCTCGAATCATCTACATGACGCCCCTCTGCTCCCCGCAGGAAACACGATATGTAATGCTGCCATCTCATGAACGTGATTACCTGATGGTGAAGGCCGCGGTGACACACACCCGAGTGGAGAGAGGGAGAGACCGGGGACAAGAGTAACACAATGTTCTTTTATATTTCTTCTTCTCTACATCTTCCTCATGTTCAAACTGAATTTTCACACGCTCTGGACAGACTCCCAGGAAGTAGAGCTGTTTTCAAAGCCACCTACTGCATACTTCTTTTGAACCCGATATGTAGTTCTTGTGTAGTTCAATGTAGCACACTACATTGGGCTTTGGGATTGCCCCCCCCCTCCTCATTCCCCCGCTGGCCTGCGCTCACACTGCTCCAGGACTAACCAGGCCTCAGCACGGTAAAAAGGGCGCACTGTCCGGTCCACGTCCGAGAACAACACAGAGAACATGACGGATACTTCACTGACTTTGTGTCTTATTTTGAGTCATGTTACTTGGGGACACATATTAGTGTTAGAAAAAACTTGGTGAATGAAGCCTTCTGGCCTGATGTTTTATATTTATATTGTGTAAAAGAGTCATGTGTCTAACCTCAGCATGCACCACAAACATTTACATTCACACCCAAAACTTTGTTGCAGCACGTTACAACGACTTCTTATCCAACAATTCTTTCTCTCAACTCGACAGTTTTGTGTTTTCTTTTTTTTTTTTTACACTACTTGATATTTTTCTTCACAGTCCAACCAAAATGTTTGGAAAGGACGTGTCAGCTAAGAAGTTGAAGATGCTTCATCCTGATTTCATGCGTTACCTCCGGAACAGGTGAGGGAATGATCTGCAGAACGGGGGAGGGGGAGGGGGCATGCAGTTTATTTCTGATATGTTGTGTGATTTGTCATTTCAGATTCCTCCATTCTGAATATCTGACCGCTAGAAATGCGAGAAATTACCGTCCGACGACTGGAGCTGTGATGCTGCTGGCTGCACTACACACCTGTGACGAGGTGGAGTTCTATATTTCTTCTAATTTCTGTCAGCTAGTTACTTATCTACCTTCTTACTGTGTACGTCTCGTGCATTCAAGGAAAGCCTAAGACAGAAAGGGTAGAAGCGTAAACCTGAACAGAGCGTCGATGACATCATCATGACATTGATGAAGTCAGTTACATAGTGCTAAAAAAAAAGGCGAGCATGGCGCTCTGTGGACATGACAGAGACGCCATTCTCCCTGTTGGAAGTCATTGTTCTAATTGTTCTAATTGATCGACTGTATGTATGTGTGTATGTATGTAATTATTTATGTATGTATGTATGTATGTACGTACGTATGTATGTATGTATGTATTTATTTATTTATGTACTGATTTATTTATGTTTGTATTTATTTATGTATTTATTTATTTATTTATGTATTATGTATTATGTATGTATGCATTTATTGATTTATTTATGTATTTATTTATTTATTTATTTATTTATGTATTTATTTATTTATGTTTGTATTTATTTATGTATGTATGCATTTATTTATGTATTTATTTATTTATGATTTATTTATCTATTAATGTATTTTTTTATTTATTAATTTATTATTTCATTTTTCCCATCTCTGTCTTTGGTGTCTCCTGTGTGACTGAAGGTGAGTGCGTACGGCTTTATGACTCCGGGCTACGAGAAGTTCTCCAGGTACTACTACGACAAAGGCCTCCACCCGGTAGGCTTCACCACCAACCACGACATGAAGATGGAGCTGGTCCTCTGGCAGCAGCTGCATCAGGCGGGGCTCATGAGACTCTACACGCGCGAGTGAGACGCACGCCGACCGGAGATGACGTCTGTAGAGAGTAGAAAAAAAGTTTACATTTTACAAAGACCAGGTCACACAATGCACCTGTGGTTTTTATTGGTGATGGTAAGGATATTAAGGTTGTAAACTCTGATTGACGAGTCCCTTTGCTGTCACACCACATGTATTGTTCCTAAGAAAAAAACTGAGAGTGTTTTTACTTTAGAAACAAGTCGTTCTTTTCCTTAAATTTTAAGTTTTCCCTGTCTTAGACTCTGGTGATCTTTTCTTTGTACATGCACGCCTCTGCTCAGTGTCTCCATATGGTTGATGCATCCTACCAAGCGTCCTCGAGGTTTCAAAACAAACCGTAAAGCGCTGACTCAGCATTGTGAGTTGTACTCTCGGGTTGGATGGCATTTCATCATGAAGGAAAGTACTGGACAGTAATCCTGCGTTCTCAGAAACTCTTTATGCTTTCTGTCCCAAACGCTCGGACAGAAACTGGGAAAAGGGGCTTTTGGGTATTCTGCACCCTCATCAAGGAGTCTGTTGCAGAACGACTTGAAGCTCGAGGAGCTGAAATGATGGAAGCAGATTCTACAGGGTGTCGATGCTTTTTACTTTTAGCTTGAACTACTGACTCAAAGATGTGACTCCAAGGTGGTTCTCTTTGATGCAATCTAGTGTTTTGTAAATTGTGTTTTGTAAATTTGACTTGAGCTTGTTTAGTTATTCGTCTAAAAGGTTTTTTTTGTTTGTTTAATATCGAATCAGATGAAGGGATCCGGTCATCTGAAGTTGTTTTATTTCAAAGTGCAAGAGGGGAAACGGGAGATCTTTAAAGTGCAATTTCTGAATCTGATTTTCACCTTTTTGAATAAAAATCTGTGGTATGTATCTCAGTGTGTGTGTGAGTGATTCTGTGTTGGTTTGAATCTACAGAGGAACAGGAAGTGCGCCTCAGCTCCAGCTCTCAGCCTGTCGTTAGGTTGACTCAAAGTTAGACTGAGACAGCATTTTCAGCATGGAGACCACCATCGATGGGACTCCAGACACTAGCTGGAATCTACCACTGCTGGCCTTTTTAACAGCCGCCCCCAGATTTCTGTAGGAAATCTGAATAACAGCAAAAAGGCAATAAACCACAGTTTAGTCTTAAGTCTTTCAGTCCGGCAGTTTTGGAAAACTGATGATGCGGGCTACTGGTCTGGTGTAAGAGCGATCGCCACTCTAACATCCACAGTCCTAACTCTCCCATCAGGGGCAGGAACAGTATGAGTGATCAGGCCAATCGGCCATGAGGCCCGAGGAAGCTGCGGGTCAGCGATCATCACAGTGTCTCCAACTTGAATGTTTTGGCAGTCAGACCACCACTTCTGCCGTTTCTGCAGGTCAGGCAAGTAAAATCTGACAAAGCGCCTCCAAAAGTGGCCAGCCAGGAGGGGCGCTGTTGAGCATGGATAGGGAGTAGACATGTCCTGACCAGCTCCTGCATATTTTGTGAATATTCATTAGCAAACTACTTTTCTAACTTATCATTCAGCCCAAGTTTTATGACTTAAGTATACAGGATGACAGGGAAGGGAAGTTCCCGGCATGAACGAGCGGAGAAAAGCCGGCCAGCACAGACCACCGATAAGGCTAATGCTAATTCTCAACCACAAAATGTCGATGACGAAGACGGTCATGAAGAACCCTCTCTCTCCTCCGTTGTTAAGCTTAAAGAAACATTTAGGAACGAGACCCGGTCTTCTATGTGTATTCTGCAATCCACTATTGATTCTTTTGCCACTCGACTCACGGATGTAGAAACGTCACTTCAAGATATCGACAACAGAGTCACCGAGCTCGAAGCTACATGTGCATTGAAAGAAAGCAACACGGCGCTGGTGGCCAAAACAGAGGATTTAGAATCGAGGAGTAGGCATCAGAACCTGAGAGCTTTCAGGATTATGGAGAGTGAAGAGGGACCACAGGTAACCTCATTCAGTACCATACAGTTTTACTGAACTGTAAAAACTGGTGTTGAAAGCCCCAAGGGCTCCCCACTGCTGGACATAGCCCACCGGTCCTTGGCTCCCAAGCCCAAACCAGGAGCTCCTCCGCGCCCAATGATCGTCAAGGTTCACCACTTTCAGGCCAAACAACAAATACTCCGTCTTGTGAGGGAGAGGGCTCCCCTCAACTTCCGCGGGCACCAGGTGCGCATCTTTCCGGACTTCACGTTGGACGTCGCCAAGCAGAGAGCAGCCTTTGCCAGTGTTAAACAGAAGCTTTGTGCCGCCGATGTCCGCTTATTTCCTGCGCGGCTGCAGCTCACATTCAACAACGAGAAGCACCTATTTTGCACTCCAATGTTGGAACAAGCCAGTCCAGACAGGCTGCTGCAGCGATGTAGGCTTCATTGACACTTGGAGGACTCTCCATCCCACAGACAGACAATATACTTTCTATTCTAAGGTATACAAATCCTCCTCCAGGATTGACTATTTTTTTACACCTAGGCATGCCCTCCAGAAAGTGGTTTCATGTTCAATTGGTAGTATTGTTATCTCAGATCGTTCCCCATTGTTTTTGGTTATGTCTAGCAAAGAACAGCGTCCTCCAACGCAATGGCGTTTCAAAAATTCCCTTCTTAAAAATCCAGACTTCATTTTTAAAGAGCAGTTTAAGATTTTTATGGCTGAGAATGACACCCCAGATATCTCTCCTAACGTGCTTTGGGAGACAGCAAAAGCTGTATCACGTGGCATAATAATATTTTTTTCTGCCTTTTTGAAACGTAAGAGAGGTGCAGAACAAAATAATTTGGAAGAACAATTAGATAAACTAAAGAGAGAATTTGATACTAATCCTTTGGATGAGTTGAGATCTCAGATAGACACCACAGCTGCTGCCCTCGACACCGTTATCAATCAATCAATCAATACATTTTTATTTGTATAGCGTCAACTCATAACAAGTGTTATCTCGAGACACTTTACAAAAAGCAGGTAAAAGACCTTACTCATTGATATGTTACAAAAAGCAGGTAAAAGACCTTACTCATTGTTATGTTACAAAAAGCAGGTAAAAGACCTTACTCATTGTTATGTTACAAAAAGCAGGTAAAAGACCTTACTCATTGTTATGTTACAAAAAGCAGGTAAAAGACCTTACTCATTGTTATGTTACAAAGACCCGGCCTATCCATCATGAGCACTTTAGCAAAGCAGGGGGTTCTGGCAGGCCGTCAACCAACAATCTTGAGGAGCCTAAGAGAGACACAATTAGAGAGAGAGAACAATTAGATAAACTAAAGAGAGAATTTGATACTAATCCTTTGGATGAGTTGAGATCTCAGATAGACACCACAGCTGCTGCCCTCGACACCGTTATGACGTTTGAGGCCCAGAAATGCCTTTTTTATGCTAAGCACAGAATGCATAAATTTGGTCACAAGCCAAGTAAATATTAAGCAAACATTTTGTTATTCTTAAGCAACCCCGTAGTCTCCATCTCTAGAGTTATCGAGATCATTAAAACTTTCAGGCGGTTCTCAGGCTATAAAATTAATTACACAAAATCAGAGGCTATGCCCCTAACTTATAATACACTTTTGACATCAGATAGCTCTGCCCCTTTCCGATGGTCCACTGCTGGGTTTGTTTATCTGGGTATATATATTACTCCATCCCTCTCTGGTCTTTATAAAGCGAACTTTCTGCCTTTAATCCGCAGAATTAAAGACAATCTGGCACGCTGGACTTCCCTCCCATTATCTTTTTTGGGTAGAATAAATATTTTTAAAATGAACATACTCCCTCGGCTGGTTGATGTTTTTCAAATGATCCCAGTTTTTTTGACTAGAAAACCAATCTCTATTTTAAACAGCTCATTATCTTCCTTTTTATGGATTTAACTACAGAAGCTACAGCTCCGACTTGAAGAGGGTGGACTGGCTTTGCCCAATATTAAATACTACCAGTTAGCTTGCCTGAGCAGGTATCTTTGGGAATGGGTTAGAAATGACCCAAAATCTACATGGCTCAACTTAGAAGCTGCTCCTCTGGACCAAGTCCCTCTTGGTAATATTATGTATGTTTCTAAAAAATGGGTTTCAGAAAAAGTAAGGGGTAATTTCCTCCTCCTGAACACCTTAAAGGTAGGAAGATAGAGGCTCAGGAAGACTGTCTTTCTACTCTTACCCCCATTTATCTAAACCCAGACTTTCCCCCTGGCATTGTAGATTCTGCTTTCTCTCTTTGGTCAGACAAGGGCATTTGCACCATAGCAGACTTAGTGGCTAATGGTATTATTAAATCTTTTAACCAGCTCAAGGATCAGTTTAACCTTCCCACTACACACTACACGGAGCTTTGTCTCCTCAAAAATAAGGTTACACTCAAGGGGGTTCTCTCAATCTTCTGTAGAAAAAGTACTGCAGGATCCCAGCCCTCGAAAATTAATAACCAGGTTTTATAGTGCTCTGTGTCCCCAGTAGAGGGCGTGAGCCACTTTGGGAGGCTGACTTTGGTACAATAATCTCAGATGATGAATGGGGACATGTCTGATTGGGTTCATCTGGTTGTCTGTCCACTAACAAGGTTAAGGAAATGCAATTCAAAATTATTTACAGGATTCAAATTACGCCACTGTTACGGAATAGATTCAACCCTTCTCTTTCAAAGTATTGTAATAAATGTAAGGTCATTGAGGGGTCATACTTTCACTGTATCTTCGACTGTCCTTTCATCAAAATGTTTTGGGTAAATGTATGTAAAGAAATTTCTGTAATGTTTGAAAACCTAGATCTTAAGCCTGTATCTTGTATTCTCGGTTTGCATTCTGCTCTTAACCTTAATCCCAACATGTTGAAACTCCTTGATGTCCTTTTGTTTGGTGCTAGAAGATGCATCTTACTTCAGTGGATCTCTGACAAACCTCCTCAGCTCTCAATGTGGGTACAAAGTATAATAGAACTCTTACCCCTGGAGGCAACGACCTACTGGCTCAAGGACAAACCCTCTTCATTATATAAAATATGGGACCCCTTCTTAATCTATATTGGAGTACAGAAAGCACAGACTTGTGAAGAGGCCTTTATGGACTTATTTGGACAGCTATTCCTAAAGAGGCCCGTACTCAACCTGTTTTCAAGCGGAAAAGCTGTTACTCTTTACTGCCTGAAGTCTTGGTTATGTAGCCATTTTATTTGTAATTCTTTTTGTAATCTCTTGTTATTGTAATTACATTTACTCTTTATTTAAATGTTTTCTCCTCCTGTTTGTTTTAAGTATTTCTCTTGTCTGTTTTTCTCCCCTCTGACCACCCTTTTGTGCTATATGCTTGCTTAATTTTGCATTATGTGGGTTGGTTGTAGGTTTTTTTCTTTTTCTTGCCTGTATTGTTCAAAATACGGTAATTGATGTAAGTGTTTCTTGCTTGTTGTCTTTCAATTTAAAAATAATAAAGATATCTTTAAAAAAAAAAAAAAAAAAGTGGTCAGCCAGGAGTTGACTGTGACGCCACCGTCGCTGACTGAGGAGCTCTGACTCTGGGTATACCACCTGTGGCAGTGATGCGTCTGGCCGTCCCATCAGCAGGGGGTAACAGGATTGAGGTCTGCCACATCAGAGGAGGTGTAGCCTAATGGCTTGGAATTGAGGATGTCCTAGGGACCAAAACAATCAACACCTGTTGAATAAAAGGTAGGTCTATGAAGGCGTAGTCTGGCTGGGGGAGATCTGCCATCAGAGGGATGTGGGATTTCCAACGCCACTTCTTGCATTCAATGCAATGATGCTGGTGATGTCGAACAGCCTCCCTTCCTCTAAGTACCCAATATTTCCTTCTTCGCTCGGCAAACACTCGCTCACTTCCTGGATGATGAAGCTGGTCATCATAGTGCTGTATAA